CCCTACTAATCCTCATCCCCTTATTAAATTTACTTAGTTTGGGGAGGTTTTGTTTGTTTTGTTTTTTGAGACAGGGTTTCTCTTTATTGAGGTTGTCCTGGAACTTGCTCTGTGGACCAGGCTGGCTTCGGAACTCACAGAAATCCGCCTGCCTCTGCCTCCCAAGTGCTGGGATTAAAGGTGTGCACCACCAATGCTGGTCTAAATTTACTTAAAGACTTAGCTAATTGCATACACGCGCGCATGCACACACACGAGGAATATGTGAGTTAGAACTCACTACATACAGCCTCCTACCTTTACTGCTTAAGTCAGTATTTCCAACCTTCCTAATGCTACCAACCATTAATAAAGTTGTGGTGACCCCCCAACTATAAATTTATATTCATTGCTACTTCATAACTATAACTTTGCTACTGTTATGAATTGTAATGCAAATATTTTTGGATATAAAGGTTTGTCAAAGGGGTTACAGCTCACAGGTTGAGAACTCCTGGCTTAAGTACTGGGATTTTATTATGCCTGATTTATTGTGTGCTGGAGACTGAACTTGGACTTCATGCATGCTAAGCAATCAATCAACAACTAACTAATCTACATCCTCCAGCTCCATAAAACTGTATTTTTTTAAAATACAGCTGGGCATTGGCAGCACACACCTTTAATCTCAGCACTTGGGAAGCAGAGGGCATCCTGATCTATACAGAGTGAGTTCTAGGACAGCTAGGGCTACCCAGAGAAACCTTGTCTCAAAAAACCAAAACAATAACAACAAAACCCACAAAAGCAAATGCACAAAGTCAAAGGTATACATTTTGTTTTGTTTTTTTAGATAGCGTTTCTCTGTGTAACAACCCTAGCTATCCTGGAACTCACTCTGTAGACTGGGCTGGCCCTTGAACTCACAGAGATCCTCCTGCCTCTGCCTCTGCTGGGATTAAAGGCATGTGCCACCTCTGCCTGACTCACAACACTATATTTAATAGATGAATTCAACTACAAGTTCTTTTACCTCTTCCACAAAAAGAAAACTGTGGATTTGTCTTATGGACAAGTAATCTACCACAGATAAAAGAGGAGAATCTAAAGCAAAGTTGCTGTAGACAAGTAATCTACCACAGATAAAAGAGGAGAATCTAAAGCAAAGTTGCTCTATGACTTGGCTTTACAGTTTCCCAATAGCAGTACTTGACAATTTTAAGAGTTTCATGGAAAGCAGGACATACTACCCTGTATTTGGGAGGAAAGGCAGGAGGATTAGGAGTTTAAAATCTTCCTGGAGCTACATACCAAGAATCTTGTCTCAAAGAAAAGGGAGGAAAAAGTTATTAGACAATTTATGAACTGACTTTACAAGCAAAGTAAGGGTATGGTTTTACTGAAATGTTGAGAATATTTTTACTTACAGCATTGATCTCAATCAGGGACAATTTTGATAATTTCTTGACCTTGGTAGTTAGTTACAACTTTGGGAAGAGCTGTTAAACAGTATCTAATAGGGAGAGGAGGAAGGCTGTTACATAGTCTACAACACAGGAGAGCCTACATTAAAAAATTATCTTAATATAAAAAATATTAGCTGCAGTAGCTGAAATATATTGCTATGAGTTCGTACTAAACAATTAGGTCAATTTCAAACACAACACATCAAATTCTCAGAAAATGCTTAATACCTGGCTTCTACTAAGATTTACACAAGATGTGTGTCTGTGTGTTTGTGTGTGTTTTGTTTTCTTGTGTGTGTGATTGGGATTTCTCTGTGTAACAACTCTGGCTGTCCTGGAACTCATTTTGTAAATCAGGCTTGCCTCAAACTCAGAGATCCACCTGCCTCTGCCTCCCCAGTGCTGAGATTAAAAGCACATGCCACCATACTCATTGATTTACAGATTATAATAATCTCAGAATTTTACAAAGTCTCTTACTAGAAATTAATCAATATTACAATACTCTATGTCCTAGACTGCTAGTACACAGTAATATGACAATAAATAACTTACTTTCCTAATCTGTGAATTTGGTGCGTGCTGTAAAAGTTTAGTTATTCTTAGATACCTAGGAGCTAGTGGCTACAAAAAAAAAAGAAAGAAAGAAAAAAAAAAAGTATTTCAGAAGTACACAAATATCTAGCCTTTTTTCTGGAATATTTTTCAGTTTAATTTTTCTGTATTTATTCATTCACAAAAATATAACTGAGGCCGATGAGCCATGTAACCTAAATACAAATTAATATACATGTTATTTTATGTTTGAGGCAGAGTCTCATATTGTAGTCCTGACTAGCCTGGAACTTGCTTTACAAACCAGACTGAACAAAAAGCCAGAGAGCCACATACCTCTGCCTCTGAAGTGATGGGGTTTTATTTGTTTGTTTGTTTTTGAGACAGGGTTTCTCTGTGGCTTTGGAGGCTGTCCTGGAGCTCGCTCTTGTAGAGCAGGCTGGTCTCGAACTCACAGAGACAGCCTGCCTCTGCCTCCCGAGTGCTGGTATTAAAGGCGTGCGCCACTACCGTCCAGCATGAAGTGCTGGGTTTAAGGACATTCAGAAAGACCAAAAAATATAAATTTTATCATAACCTAATAAAAAGACAAACACTTGAAATATAAAATGTGTGCTACAAGCAGAAGTATCAGTAAGGAAGTGTGTGAAAGCTTACATAGGAAAGCATACCAGGAAAAGTTTCCCAGGTTGTGATGTCCAAACAGATAAAATAGTACAAAAAAACACCAGGTCACAACTTTTAATATTTATACCACAGAACTCCTCTGTTCTCTTGAATTACTTGCTTTTAGGTTTTACTGTTTATATAAACATCAAATCTACAAGCTGATAAGTATGTTCAAATCAAACTGACAACTAATTTCGTGAAATCCTTTTTGTTGTTGTTTTGTTTTTCGAGGTGGGGTTTCTCTGTGTAGCTTTGTAGACCAGGCTTGGCCTTGAACTCACAGAGATCTGCCTGCCTCTAGCCTCCCGAGTGCTGGGATTAAAGGCGTGAGCCACCAACGCCTGGCTGCCCTCCACAATTCTTAAATGAGATGGATCTTCTATGTTGTCCAGGCTGGCTTCAAACTCCTGGGCTCTAGTTCTCCACCCTCAACTTCCATTACTGGTGACACTACAGGCTTGCAACACCACATCTATATTGACTTTTTAAAAATAATTTAAGCTGGGCGTTGGTGGCGCACACCTTTAATTCCAGCACTTGGGAGGCAG